TTACTCCCTTTCCCAAAGGTGGTTGCAACAGTGGTCAGAAATGGCCACCTCAAAGAAGAACTGAACTGGAAAAGAATGTGCAGGACGAAGATAAGAAGAGAAAGTTTTGGTCGACCGGGTTAAACCGAAAAAACAACAACGTAAGGTACCCTGGAATTTAAATTAAATAACGTTGTTCCCAAAGAAGATTTTGAAGCTGCAAAGGAGAGAGAGAAGGGAAAAGATTAGGGTTTTTTTTTCCTTCCCTTCCTTATACTGACAGCCAAGAGACTTAAGCAAGAAATTGAAAAAAAATCCACTTTGACATTAATAGGCATCTAAGCTGAAAATAAAACTCAAAGGGATAATAAAGATTTCTGGATATTTAAAAGTTTTTAAAAGCAGGAAAGGAGGAAAAAAAAAAGAATAAAAGGGCAGGATCTGGAAAAATGGAGGAGACTGCCTGGAACTAAGGAATGGAACTGTAACTAAAAGGAACTTACAGTGAAATTTTAACAAGATTCCTCAAAGGTACATTTTAACTGAAACTTGGCAACAAAATAATAGAACCCCAGGAAGAGAAAGTGGAAAAAAGAAGCAAGAAGAAAAAGCCTTGGATTATTTGGATTATTTGGTGGTTTTTGGTTTTTGCATCTAGATGACTAAAATTAACCGGGTGGTTGTTTAAAAGTCTTTAAAATGGTATCACTCTTAGAAGAACTGAAAACGGAACTTTAAAAATGGAAAGAAGATGCGCAAGAAGGGAGAGGTTCTTTTGGCTTTGTATTTCAATTCTTAGAAATGGAGATCTGAAACTATGAGAAACAACAAGAAACGCTTGCAGAACAAGAAGATTGGGACAAAGAAGAAGCCATCTTTAATGATCAAATAATTTTAAGTGGGGGGAAAAAAGAAAAGGGGGGAAAGAGAGTGAAAGATTTAAGACCAGAAAAAACTACCAAAAAGAAGAACAATTTGAAAGATAAGTATAATATTAGAAAGCAAAACAGAAGAGGGGATTACAGATGAGAGAGTTAGAAGTAGAGAGACGAGGGGGTAAAAAGGGGAGGGAGAAGAAGAGGGGGAAGAAGGTAAGGAAAAAAAGTTGTAAAAGACAGAAACAAGAAATAGAGAAACAGGGAAAAGATATAAGAATTGTAACCATAAGCTTGTTTAGAGATAATGGGTGAAAATTTAATTGTAAAAGGGATTCTGCAAAGGTACATAAGATAGCATTATTATATTACAAACAGAAATAAATTTAGAAAATATGACTAAAATGATGGATAAAATATTTACTGTAATGTAGTGGAATGTTTGCTAATAGATAAATGAATTAAAGTGAATGAGAGAATTAAGTGGGAACATTTTAATTATTATTAATGATTTATAAATAAGTGAGAAATATGGGGGGGAAAAGAATTAACTATGGAAAGTTTATAAGTGTTCCCAAGGAAATACGATATTTAATTGAAAAGAAATGTTAAAGATGTTAAGATTTTAATGAATATT